AACCAACTGAGCCACCCAGGCGCCCGCCTCTTGGCTAATTCTGATAATTACTATCAACAATTCATAATCTTATTTTTGGGAAGCAGAGATTTAATCACAGAGTATACCGAAGGAGGGTATTTAATTTTTTGAGGTGGACAGATGTAGGTACAATTAAGTATACCAGGAAAACACCTGTAAACCAGTAAAACAGGAAAGCTCTCTTTGGGAGTTTTTCTCACAGGTATGGAGCAAAGCATCTCAAGGAACCACACGACGACTGACTTCATTCACTTGCCCAAGATTGGAAACCCCAGCAAAGGGGAAGAGGCCGGGCTGGGCTGAAGGCCTGGCCCGAACCATGGTTGAGAATTAAGGGTATATCCCTGATCTTCTTGAGAAGACCGTGAACAAAACTGGCAGCTGCAACAGTGACAACAGATGAAGAACCTGGTTGTTTATTATCATCTTTATGACTGATGACTCATGAGTGGTGCCTTCACACATTAAAATGTTTTGTCACAATTTCTAAACAAAATATGAGGAAACTTTGCCTCCCCCCTCCCCTCCCCCCACTTTTTTTTTTTTTTTCTTTTTACCTTAACAATTGATCCTCTAGACCTGATTTGGTTACGGTGAAATTGATGATGGTAACTTTAATGCACACCTGAAAGAGAAGCATAGATTTACATAAAAATGCTTAAGTTCAGATGAGTCAAATAAGAAGTGCTTTCTTTAGTAGAACAGGGCCCATTATTACCCAGCTGGATGTCTCTTGGGTCTAATTGTGAACATACCCACACACCCACACACCCACCAAGCATATTACGTCTTACAGAATCCTAATATGATTTTCCCTGCAGTATGAATGACAATCTTGTTCCTCACAGGCCACAGTTATAGAATCCTACATGGTGCTTTAAGGAAAGGTGAGCCAGCAGAGGGTTAAAAAGATCAGGTTCTGATACCAGGTACGCCCTTTAGTGCATGTTGGACAAGCTACTCACCCCTGCTGAGCTTCAGTTCCTGAGATTTAAAAATTGGGATAATAATAGTTATAACTCACAGGGTATTTATGAAGACCAAATGAGGTAAGAAAGTCACTCAGTTACAGTGACTTGTACATAGTTTGTCCTTGTTGAAAAGAAGTGATGACTGGTAATAGAGCTTTATATGTATTGTGTCATCACAACATTTTTATGAAAAATGGTTGCTATAATATTCTCACATTACTAGAATAAGTTAACAGCAAAAAAAGAGTGTTTGAACGTCCCATATTTTACATGTTATTCTTATTTAATCTTCACAATGAATCCTTGAAGTAGGCTTTATCTCCACTTTTTGGTTAGTTGACTTGAAGATCCAGGACATGGAATAACTGGCCCACGGTCACAGAGCTAGTGTCGGGTAAGGTGTGCGATGCTCCCTCCCAAAAGTTAAATAAGTGAGAAGGTTGTAAGTCATGGCACATCAGTCACTTTTCTAAACTTCACCATGGATCTTGCGACATGAGCTCTGGCAGTGGCTGTGAAAATTATACCCCTCAAGGCTGACCTGGGCTTTTAGTGGCATTTCCCTCATCTTATTCAAGAGGTGTGTCTGTTTCATCTAACCTGAGCACATCTAGTGAAGACAGGCAGCTATGAGAAAATCGGTAACTAAAAGGAAAATGACACTATTTGGAATGGCATATGCAAGGATTTTATTGTTTTTGGGATGGAGGGAGAGGTGAAGGAGTAATTCTGATTTGTGAAGTTTCTTCCCTAATTGTGTGAGCCCTGTTGGAGAAGGGGAGACCTGCCGCACTGGGAAGACCCTGGGGAGCGTGCAGCCGTGCCTGGAGCTGTGGCAGCACCGAGGGACTGTGGGGGACGAGCGACCTCTTGGAGCCCCATGCAGGAAGGGAGAAAGGAGACCCAGCTGCCTTCATTTCTGTTGCAACTGCCTTGGGCTCTGCAGCACAAGAGTAGTTCTTCCGGATCCTATGGTAGGTCAGGGACGTGTGTGGAAGTGAGGTTCACATAGATCCCCTTAAAGTCTAAGCGCATGAGGGATGCCCCCTCCTCCAGAACTCTAAGCACAGACACACTGGATGTTTGAGTCATCACTCTCTCATGGTGACAGTCACCAGAGTTTTCAAGCTGGCAACTTCTTTATTTGGGCCTTTATGCCACGGGCATTTGCAAATGTTAACATTCGCATGTCCCCCTCTCCCCACAGACTCTCTGTGAAGCCCTGGTTCATTTATGAGCCACAGCAAGAGGGGCACAAATGGCCTTGAGCTGCAGGAGGGAGAAGAATGATTAGAAGGGAGTGCTGCTCTGTGTTGTGCAAGCAGCTGTGGGCCGGGAGGGAGATGGAGAGATCGCGCTGAAGAGGTGCTCGGGGCCTCGGGCAGGGCAGCACCTAGGGACCGGGTGGGGAGGGCCTCAAGTCCAACTGAATGGCGAGCAGAAGGGCAACTGGAATCAGAATCAGGACGCAGAAGAGAAGCAAGAGTGGAGGACAGTGGAAGGAAGGGGTGTGGCAGAGCAGCGGGGAAAGGGGGAGCTGGGAGAGGGCCCACCAAATGTCAGAGACCGTCACACGTAATAGTCCACTCGGGCTGGGAATTCGAGACCAGCAGCTCATACCTCAGGCAGGTAGTGGGGATTTGGCAATTTGGTTGTCATATAGAACCTAAAGTTTTTGTCATAATCAATGTCTGAATCTCCAAGGTGAATGAGCAGCCGTCCACCACTCATGAAAGTCTGCTTCAAGAGAATGGGTTCTAGAGCTGGATCCAAGGTTTCTTTAAGCTTGAAAGTTAAAATAGAACACGAAAAAAAAAAAATAAGCCATTAAAATGGATGGTGTCAATTTCTCTAAATTCCTTAGGCCTCCAAATTTACTTTGAATGAGCAATTTTCCAGTGATCTGATAGATATTTCTCTTACTATGCACTCACTACCTCTAATGGTGTATATTAGATGAAAATATGATCATGTGAAGGCAATACAGATGGTTAGACTAATTGTACATACCATTCATCCCCATAAGGAAGAATCTGAGAAAGGCGGGTCTCTGCACATGGCCCTTCGGCAGGACCCAGACAAATGATCTGTTCACTCTCATGGCTGTTCTAAGGCAAATGATGACAGTCTACAGCCTGCAGGCCAAATCCTGCCCTCTGTGACCTGTTTTTGTATGGCTCTTAAGCTAAAAATGATTTTCACCCTGTTCAAGGGTTATAAAAACAAAACCCTAAACCCAAACCAAAACAAAGAAGAATATTTATTTGAATAATATTTGTACAGGGACTGTATGTGGCCTAGAAAAACTAAAATATCTGGCTCTTAACAGAAAAAGTTTGTGGACCTCTATTTTGTATGATAGCTATTTTCTTTCCCTCAAAGCAAATTTGACTGTTGGCAAGAACTTGGGCCTGCAGACACTGCTATCACACCCCATGACAAACACCCTTATGTCAGCATGGGTGTGATGGGGGTCCATGACCCAGGAGCTGTCAAAATTTGATTGTAATCCATAGTTAACAAATCTATTTCATACTGTGACATGATACCCAAGAATGTAAACAAAAGTTTATGAGATAAAATTTCCATTTCCACCTATGATGCAATTTTGTGTTCTTAAAAATCTATTCTATATCATTAAAAAATGCTGGTTGAGACCGACTAACTCCATTTCACACCCACGAATAGGTGGAGAGGAAGTTGGAAAATACTGCTTTACGAATGTAAAAAGCAGCTAGGTGCATGTTAATGACTCCAAGTCACAGAAAGCAGTTACAAGGTCCTGCCATCCAGGGGCAGAACGTCATAGAAAGTCTTTTGTGCCCTGCCTTGGAGAAGAAATTCCCCCAGGACCTCCTGTGTTACAAAGTAAACTGCAGTTGAAGAATCCAGTTTGGGGCTAACATAACTGCACCAAAGGTTTGGGGAGACTTTACCCTCCCCTGTAACATCAGGGTTTGGGTGAGGGCCTGGGACCCACGACAGAATCTTTCCTATGTTGGTCGGTCAAGGCTAGAAGGGTAGAGAATAATAATATTTATGCCCACCAAAATGTTTTGCTGGCCTCCCGTCGTCAGCATGTGTAGACAGTTCCTGCTGGCCCCAGGACTCTGCTGCTCTGCACTTTCATGGCAGCTAACCATCAAGAGCCACAACGGGGCTAAGAATCAGCAGTGTCAGAAAACAGCCCATCCCACTAACACCAAAACCATGTCTGGAATCAGAAAAATCATTCAGCCAATGGATTGCTCCCCACGTGATAGTGCACCGTTTAAGGAGCAAAGCGACTGGTTTGAACAACTTGCAAATGGAGCTGACTGGTGTCTCTAGCATGATGCAGGTGTGGCCCGTATAGGATTCCAGATATGGTCTGAAAGTTGGGGATGAACCAGAGAAAAGAAAAGTGAAAAGCAAACCTCTTCCAGCAAGACGGGTAAACCAAGTTGGATTGAATTTTCCAGTGTACGTAAGAAATTACTATCCGTAAGCTTAATGATCTTTAAACCACTCTTGCTTTCCCTGTTCCTTATCCAACGGTTTGCCTGTTTGAGAAAGCACAAAGCAGGACACTGGACTTAGAGTTTTATAGATGACAGCAAGTGAAAGTTTTTAGAGTAAAGTTTAGAAATTTTGTTCAATTTAGAAACAGTTTTGAAAGATGAAAAAGATAAAATAAAATATTACCCCCCTGCAAATAAAAAGCACCTTTTAAACTCCAGTGTTTGGGATTCTTCCTTTTATTCAAATTTGAAACAAATGAAGAAGAGACACATCTAGGGAAAAAGCCCATCCTTAATGTATTCAAGCTTGTCTTCCTGGCTCTGACAACAGCTCCCTTTTCTAAACCCCACTTAGAACAGTATGATCCATGGACTTCGGAGTCAGATAATAGGATTCTCTAAATTCCAGGCAGGCTTGCCCTAAAACCCATCCTACCCTGACTTCATTCTGACTCTTCAGACCTTCTAGGAACAAGAACTATATAGGAAGGGCGCCTGGGTGGCTCAGTTGTTATGTGTCTGCCTTTGGCTCAGGTCACAATCCCGGGGTCCTGGGATCGAGCCCCGCATCAGGCTCCCTGCTCGGCATGAAGCCTGCTTCTCCCTCTCTCACTCCCCCTGCTTGTATTCCCTTTCTTGCTGTCTCTCTCTCTCTGTCAAATAAATAAATCAAATCTTAAAAAAAAAAAAGAACTTTATAGGAATGAATTTCTGCTCCCACAGAAAATAGAAAACTAATGGTCAACCCCATAAATAAAACCAATCAAAATCAAGTATGCAGAGCAGTTGGACTCTTCTTCCCTTTCACCTTCTGCCTCCACAAAATGAAGAACTTGGACTAGAATACATTTTTTTAAAGGTTTATTTATTTATTTGAGAGAGAGAAAACGTGAGCGAGGGAGAGCGAGAAGCTCAAGCAGACTCCTTGCTGAGTACAAAGCCCAACTCGGGGCTTGAGATCAAGCCCCTGAGATCATGACCTGAGCCGAAACCAAGAGTCAGACATTTCACTGACTGAGCCACCCAGGTCCCTTTTGACTAGAAGACTTCTAAACTCCCTTCTAGGTCTAAATCCCCAACATCTTACAAGTGTGTTCAAGTCCACTTTTGGAATTTGGAACGGACAGCATAACAGTATGCAGGGCTAGGAGGCTGCTCTGCATCTGAAGCACTTGTTACGCACCTGATCCTGGGGATCAATCATCAGAGGCCACCGTCTCCCTTGAGTAACCAAGATACCATTTTCTGTTGATATTATGTCACGGGGCAGCCCATCAGTGTTCCACTGCCGTATTTCGTAGGGATCGCCAAGAATGTTAATGAGACTGAAGGAAGGATTAATTGGGATCTCCAGAGACAGACAGTCCTGGATCCAATATTCTATAAGCTGTGGGAGGAGGAAAACTTATTTGTATAGAGTCAGGAACACTTGGTAAATGAGGATACATACAGAATGTCATGGTTATAAGTTCTAGCGGTCTCCACATGCATCCTGGCATCAAAGCATAGGACACAAGAAGTGGACTGACAATCAGATCTGGGGCCTTGAACCATACCATAAACTAGCGGTGACTTTGGGCACGTCACTCCCCATGTCTGAACCTCAGTTTTCTCATGTATAAATGACAAATGTTATCACAGTAGTCTTGAACCAGGGGTGTACTGTCCCCGATGGGAGAGTCTGGAGGCATGTGGAGAAATTTGGGGTTATCACAATGACTGTGGGTGCTACTAGCAATGAGTAGATGGGGCAGGGGATGTTGGCGGGTTACCTCCTTCAGTGAATGGACAGTCCAAAAGCACCACTGGCATGGCTCACATGGCACCAGATGACCCCTGAGCTTCTGTTGAGTCTACGAGTCCTATACTAACTAGGTTTTATAGCTCAAGGGCAAGGATGAAGCCTTTTTAGGAAGGCATTTCATAAAAATGGCCTGAAAAATCTCTCCAAATAATTTCATTTACTGCTCCTTCCCATTGCCTAGCCCTTTGTAGCAGTCTCTCCAATTCAGAAAACTTCATCCTGGCTGACTTTAAAGATTTATTTATTTATTTATGAGAGAGAGAGAGAGCATGGATGTGGGTGGGGGGTGCAGAGGGAGAGACTCTCAAGCAGACTCCAGCTGAATGTAGAGCTTGATGTGGGACTCAAACTCACGACCCTGAGATCATGACCTGAGCCGAAATTGGGAATTGGCCACTTAACGGACTGAGCCACCCAGATGCCCCCATCCTGGCTGACTTTAGATGCCACTTCTGATCATAAGTTGGGGGGGGACTCCCTGGCCCTTTTACTTCTCCCAGGTTCTTGAGCTGTATAAGGAAGTGATGACTAACTTTCTAAGGCAGGAAAGGAAAGGAAGGAATGTGTTAAGGAAATCCTAGGGGTAGACCATTGCTGGCTGATGGGGGAGCTGGAGGGCTGTGGAGTTTCCATCATGGAGAACCTTCACAGTGGAGAGCCTCCCTCTAAACTCCGGAAAACTGCCTCTGCCAGTTCTAGCTGCTTCTCCCCACTCCTCACAGAAAGTGAGTTTACTCACCGATTGCCTATACTGGGCTGTGAAGGCCCCATAATAGGCAACACAAGCTGCTGCTATAAACACATTCCCAATGATATTTGATATCTCCTCATTGAATTTCTCAATGCTTTCTTCCCATCGAACTTGCTCATCTCCTAATGCAGCCGTCAGCTTTCCAGCACGTATCAGACGTGCTTTGGTCAGGGCCATAGTCTTTGCTAGAAAATTTTAAGAAAATCAAATTATGTTATTCAGTATTTTCCTAAAATATAAGATGTTTATTCACCTGCTTTTGCTTATAGTGACATTAGCATTATTTAGCTAATGATGTCAGTACATCTCTATGAAACCTCATACCGATTCAGCGTTACTTCCCATTCCAGAAGCAAGTCCACGTTCACCTCTTCCAAGCAAACGGCTCCTTTCTGATACTCCATTACTCTGGCTGGAGCTAGCTCTCTCTGTGTCTGGGTAGTGTTTATTTTCTGGATCAAATTCATATGTCAAGTCGTGCTATAGTGGAACATGTCCCAACAAGCCTTCCACACAGGAGTTGAATGTATGCTGTATGTGCAGCTCTAATCTTACATTAGGCTAGTGCAGTACCTCCGTGGAAATACGTCCTACATGTAGGAAGCTGAGATCTGACTGCCTGAAAACTCTTTCTACTTTTAAAAATCAGGTATCTCCTTGTGGTATATATATATATAAAATGGAATATTACTCAGCCATCAGAAAGGATGAATACTTACCATTTGCAACGACATGGATGGAACTGGAGGGGATTATGCTGAGCGAAATAAGTCAATCAGAGAAAGACAATTATCATATGGTTTCACTCATATGTGGAATATAAAAACCAGGGCAGAGGATCATAGGGGAAGGGAGAGAAAACGGAATGGGAAGTCATCAGAGAGGGAGAAAAACCATGGGAGACTCTTTTTTTTTTTAAGATTATTTATTTGAGAGAGAGAGAGCAGAGCGAGAGAGAATACGAGTGGGGGGAGGGGCAGAAGAAAAGGGAGAAGCAGACTCCCTGATGCAGGGCTTGACTCCAGGACCCTGGGATCATGACCTGAACCGAAGGCAGTTGCTTAACCGACTGAGCCACCCAGGCACCCACAGTGAGAGACTCTTAACTGTAGGAAACAAACTGAGGGTTGCTGGAGGGAGGTGGGTGGGGGATGGGGTAACTGGGTGATGGACATAAAGAGGGCACATGATGTGATGTGATGAGCACTGGGTTATACGTAACTGATGAATTATTGAACTCTGCATCTGAAGCTGTACTATATGATGTACTATATGTTGGCTCATTGAATTTAAATAAAAAAAAATCAGGCATCTCCTGACCACCATAAATTTATGAGTTACTTACCTAGACCTTCTTTCTCATTCACACCTTTGTCATATTCATCTTGTAAGGCTTGTATTTGATCTTCTACTTGCTTTAGTAATGCTTGCTTTTCTCTCAGAGTGGCCATAGTAATATCAAGTTCAGCCTAATAAAATCAAATAAATATTTAAAATGAAAATCCAAGGTCCGAAAAGAAAATAAAATTTGCCCACTTCTAATACATTTTAAAAATAGGATTTATGTTCTCTTTTTCATGTCTCAAAATATTTTGATATGGTATATAAAGTTAAAACAAATGTACAGTTTTTAAAATACGAGAAGCATAACAGAACAAAACAAAACAAGAAACAAAGCCCAATAAAATAAATCACAGAAGGAATAAAGAAACAGATGTACCATTGCACATTAATCCCAAAGCATTTGGGATTAATTAGTTACTACAGTGGATTAACTTTAAATGATGAAATAAATGAAAGGTTCACTCAACTGGGAAAACAAATCTTTCCTAGCGAGTTCTCTAGAGCAGGGGTCTGCAAACCAAATTCAGCCTGCTGCCTGTTTTTGTACAGTTAGCAAACTAAGATTGGTTTTACATTTTTAAATGGTTGGGGAAAAAAAATCAAAAGAAGAAGAATACTTCATGACACATGGTAATTGTATAAACTCAAATTCCTGTGTGCATAAATAAAGTGACATTGGAACACAGCCATGCTTACTCGTTTATTATTGATGGCAGTTCCTGTGCTGCAACAGCGGAGCTCAGGAATTGCAGTGGAGACCAGATAACCAGCAAAACACAAAATATTTACTCTCTGGGTCTTCACAGAAAAAGTCTGCCACCCCTGCTCTCGAGCCACGGTTCCTTTCAGTAACCCTATCCACTCAATGAGCATTCTTTGTTCTGCTTGGGACCTCACATCCGATTGTGGCTTAAGCTGGTTTTAGACCCTCAGATGACATCACGGAGTGTGGGAGTATTAGCAAATGCAACCCAGAGCATCACATGCTAGAGCTAAAAGGCACCTGAAAAATATCATCGGCCTGATGATACAACTATACTACGGACTTATTTTCCTTTCATGCTGGGAAAGGGCTGATTTTAGAGGTCATTTCTGAAAGCATAATCTTCACCAGCTCTTTTTCTACAAAAAAACCTAGTTTTCAAGAGCACTGTTACTATCTATGTTTTACAAAGTCACAGGAGCTTGAATGACTAATGATCATGGCCTTTAATTGTATAAAATATTGCAACACAAATGATGTACCTGTGCAGCACGGAGTTTTTGTCTCTTTGGTTCGACTTCTTTGACTACCCTAGAGTATAAATCCATCGCTCTTACCCACATGCACATGGATTTACATGCTCTGGACACTTTCTCTACTTTTTCAGGCACAAAATCAGGATTGTTAATATACTTTTGAAGTTTTGCCAATATCTGAGGCTTTATGTTCTCCTTATCATATTCTAAAAGTCTTCTTAGAAAGTTAGAATCACCAAGAAGTTGCTTGGCTGTTGGCCAATCAGGCCTGAAAGACAGACATAATAAGTTAATAGTACTGTAATAAAGTAATTTAAGAACAAAAGAAATGTGTTCTTTTGAGAACATTAAGATATTATCCCAATCAGTGGGTAGTTTTAATCTTGATACCATAATCCCAGTCATTGGTAGTTAAGTACACCACAATTCCTGGGGAGACATTCCTGGATGACTAATGTTTCATCCCAACCCAGTCTTGGTAGAGAAAGGAATTACAAAATCAGAGTTTTAGAAACGTAAGACATTACAGAAATAATAGTTTTATTTTTACAGTGCCCTGGCACTCACATTTTTACCCCACTTGCCTTAGTTTAGGTCCTTAAAAATCTCTTGCCAGGACACTATGATCACCTTCTACCTGGTTTTATGTCTCTCAGTCAACCCTGCTCCTTGTGAACTTCTGCCAGATTGGTCTTTCTCACAGGAAAAGCTGATTATGTCGAAAATGTTCAATGGTTCTCAGTCCCCTCTGGCCCAGGCTTTCCATCTATGCTTTGCAGAACTCCCTGGCTCCACTAAGGTGCTGACCAGAGAGGGAGCAGGGAAGCTGGGTGGGGGTCCTCTGGGACTTCTACCCTTGCTTGATCAGTTTTACATAGAAAGATTTCTTATAATTTTTATTGAAAAAAATTTGTATTACTAAAGAAGGTTTGAAAACTACATATCTCCAGGATCAAACACAAGACCTTGCATGCTGTCATCACTGCTCTCCTCCCCAGCCCCATCCCATTCCACGAGCATCAAAGGTCCCTGAGCTCTCCCCATAGTCTCACTCTCCACCTGAGCATCATATCTCAAAAACCTGCTCACACCTCTCCATGAGCACTTTTTTTTTTTTGGAAGTCCTGGTACTACACAAATATTGCATATCTTGAAATTATTATTTTTCATGTCTGTCTCCCCATTATCCTATATGTGCCTTAGAGAAGAGCTTTGTATCTTCCATCATCTAGCACAACACAGATGTTCAAAAAAATGCTTGTTGAATCAATCTGTTGATTGACTGACCAAATCAGTAAGAAGGCAGAGACGAGAATGAGCACATATAAATGAAAATGTAGAAAAACACCAAAGAAATTCCCCCATGCATTTTGGTAACACATGATTATGGATGTACTCACTTGGCATTCAAGAGAATAGAAATCGCTTCCATAACAGTCATGACCATATCTGGGGGCTTTGTAAAAACTCTGATTTCCGATATGTCTGCTTTATCTAAGGAATCCAGGGCTTTATTAGCAGCATCAAGGGCAGGGAGAGCTTCTTCAAGGTCTCTCTGAGCATCATCGGCAATTGCTTGGGTTTCCTCAGCTTTCACTTTTGCTGTTGCTTCATCTTCCTGCACAATGCTACGGACCTAAACATTGAAACACGGCTGCTTAGGTGGTCTCATTATTTGAATTTCAATGTTTAAAAACAAAGCCAATGATAATGCGTCATATTTGCCCCTCTGGATTATACCAACAATGAAAGAGTATTAGCTACAGTGCATTTTAGGCTCTCCTTTGTCCATCTCAGGTAGGCTGATGGGATAATTGAGCTGAAGCTGTTAGAACAAACCATTCCTTCTTAGGAGATGAAGAGCTGCTGCTTTATACTTGTTGGGGGTACTTTTCTCACCACTCTCTGTCCCACTCATTGTGTTCACTCATTCTCAGGGTGAGAACCAGGCTGATTCATTGAAGGTAGATTGTTTACAACTTAAAAGCATTGTTAAAACTATCACTTAATTATTTTAAAGACATATAAAATTAAAAAAATCCAATCCCATGTCATGATATATAGGTGATCAGTTGGTGATCAAAACCTTCTCACGACCACAATGTCAGGGAATGCATACCTGATCGGCATTTTCTTGATCTACTGCCAATTTGTCCATCAGGGCTTCAACATCTTGTGATTTTTGAAGAAGAACAGGTTCTAAAGCTGAAAGTTCTAATTTCATTTTATCTACTAGTACGTTTGTTTCTAATAGCTTGGTGAGACCGTTTTTCACCCGGTCACGTGCCTAGATGACAATAAAAATATCTATTATAACGAATATTATAAACTATACATTTCTTGGCATCTCTTACTCATGTACTAGAATTTTACATCTACAGAACTGGTAAATCAGTTTGTAATACTTAAAATTGTGAACAGAGAGAAATCTTCAGGTAACAGAACTCTAGGAAATGACCATGACATTCACCACGGTGGGTGTAGATCTCTGTCCCCTAGCCACAGCAGTTGGCATGTCACCAGACTGCGGGCTCACCGAGGAACCACATCATATTATTTTTATTCCCTTAGCTTGGCAGCTTGGTAGACTGTTGAATGAACAAGGGGTAAGTTCAGATAGGAATTTCTGGAGGCCACAGCTCTAGGAACTTGTTTCGTCAAGATGGGTGAGCAGAGCTAGGAACTTGTCAGTGTTCTGGGGACTCAGCTCTGGTTGCTGGATCTGAACCCTACTTCCCAGTGGTAAGGAACTTCTGACTAGGATCAAAGAGGCAGGACCTAGAAGAGGAGGCAGCCGGGAATAACTATTTTTTGAAGGTGAGTCAGAAAGCCTGGTTCAAACCGACAGGTTTCAAAATATCAAGTTATTTTACAAAGCATGTATTTATTTACCAAGTAAAAATCCTCTGAAAAACATTAAAAATATCTTAATGGTCTATACTTCTATTTTAATTTTGATTAAAATGTTGAAAATTTCAGCTCATGTTAATAGCCTGCCACTATCGTGATGGCAGCCACTCTTTCCTGAGCACCTCGTAGGTGTCAGATCATATTCCAAGCCCTTCACAAACAGTATCTTATTTAAACTCCACAACAATCCAAGTGGTAGGTGTAGAAATTTCTAAACCTTATTCTCTACTAAGACCTAGAAGTTACAAAATGTACTCATGGTTGTGCAGTAAGAAAGAGGCAGAACATAGGTTGTATATGGTCTGCCTGACACTGAAGTCCTTGCTCTTAATGGCAACTACGGACACATGTTAGGCCACCGAAACTCCATCTCCGCTGCTTAACAAAAGGTTCTCCTTCTCATGAAATATTACAGAGATGTCTAACTTACCGCCTCACTTTGATGCTGTTACTATGTCCGTCTCATTCTACTGAGGCACACTTAGGTAAATGACAGTAGAAAAAATATACATATCAAGGAAGGGGAAGGCCTCTCGGCCGACAGCATAAAACATTCTTTTCATCTTTTTGTCTGTCGCAGGTTGTCAAGGGCACATGTGGGGATGGACAAGGCTCCAGCAGGTAAGATGGCATGTAGAACTTCCGCTAGTTCTGGCAAGTTTTGAGTTCAAGCAAAAGAAAAAAAATTTTTTTTTATTGATAATATTATGCTTACCGAAACCAGCTGCTTCTTTTTCTCACTCAGCATAGTCAGGAAGAGATTGATGAGTTCCAAGTAGGAGGTAGGCGTTGTGTAGTACCGTCTGCGGAGCTCCATGTAATAGCGTTCTGCCATCGTGGAGACGCTCAAGTGAACGTTCACGCACATGAGGGAAAGCTTTTCTTTCAGTTCTTCTTTTCCAGCATCCACGTTTGCAAAAAACGTCTTTGATACAGAAAGAAGTGCTTCTCTAGGCCACTGAAAATAAAGATATAATTTGGAAAGTCTGTTGCTCATTTCTATAATATACATTTTAACAAGTAAGAAAATGTATTTCTCTGGACCTCTTCCTTGCTTTGTCCCCCCTTTTACCCAATGAATTCCTACTCATGTCTGTAATGTGTAATGAACGGAATGGCTGCATTCATTAGAGAGGGGTTTGGGGCTGCATTTTCTATCCCCAGCACAGTGTCTGGCACATGGAAGTTGTTTAATCAGGATTTGTTAATTGAATAAATAAATGAATGGGTGTATTTAGAATAATTCCATGAATAAAATCACATACATTACGAGGACCTCATGTCCTTACTCTGTTTATTATGCAGGTCCATTATTATAATCATTGTCCTTTTCACCTCTTCAACTTCTTTGCTCCTTTCTTGTTTCTCTGCACTCGCCTGAACCTTAGCCAAATGCAACTCTCTGTTACCCCATGTCTGTGACTGTGTAGTTGAGCACGGCTAGAGAAAAACACACAACCTTGCCGACTGGCCTCACTTTAACTTTGTGACAACTAGCTGAAGTGGGTTCTTAGAGCAGCCCAGAAAAGCTTCTACAGACTGCTAACACCTCCTCTTTCCACTTCATTCTCAGCTGATGACCTCGCTTCCCACATCACTAAAAATAGAAGCAACGAAAACAGAATTCAGTGAGCTCTCACCCCCACATCTTCCCATCTCCCTGTTATCTGTGCTCATATACTCTGCCCCCCACTCCTGTTCCTCTGGGGTATGCTGTGCACGCTCCCTGCCCAGGCTGACCCCTTCGCTGATGACTCCATCCCATCTCTTCTTGCCCTATTCAATGCCATTGGTACAACTACACTTAACTCTGTCTGCTGCTCCATCAATATAGTTCTTTTCTGGATCACTTCCATCAGCACACACGCATGCTATTTGTGTTTCCCACTTAAAAACACTTTTCTTTTGACCTCACATACCCTTGTAGATACTACCCAGCTCTTGGTGTTCTTTTGGGGCAAAACTTCTTGAAAGAGTTGCCTATGTTCACTGTCTCTGATTCCTCTTGTCTCTTCTCTCTTGAACCTTTTCCCCCATCACTCCACTGAAACCAAGCTCTTGTCAAGATGACCAATAATTTCTACATTGCTAAATTCCACAGTCTCCTCTTCCTTTATAAATTCTGTTTAGCCTTTGTTAGGTCTTTATCATTGTCATCTCCTGTATATGAGTAAATTCCTAGCAGGGTTTAAAGCTAATGCAAGTACCCTTGAGTTATTTTTGGGCAATGTGTTACCCCTTTAAAATCAAGTGAATCCAGGGGCACCTGGGTGGCTCAGTTAGTTAAGCCTCTGACTCTTTTATTTTTTAAGATTTTATTTATTTATTTGAGAGAGAGAATGAGAGAGAGAGCACATGAGAGGGGGGAGGGTCAGAGGGAAAAGCAGACTCCCCGCCGAGCAGGGAGCCTGATGAGGGACTTGATCCCAGGACTCCAGGATCATGACCTGAGCCAAAGGCAGTCGCTTAACAAACTGAACCACCCAGGCGCCCAAGCCTCTGACTCTTGATCTCAGCTCAGGTCTTGATCTCAGGGTCGTAAGTTCAGGGCCCGTGTTGGACTCCGCCTTGGGCGTGGAGCCTACTTAAAAAAAAAATCAAGTGAATCCAGCTTCCCAGAGAGGTATCCTGGTATGTCACCAACCTGGACAAACCAATCAATAGTGCAGCAGTTCACAAGGGATGGAAACATCCGGCATCGGGACCGAAAGGCCTCCCCCACAGGGCTCATACAGAGAACAATGTGCAGCTTCTGACGGACTCTGCTGATAAAGTGCTGAAACACCTGACAAAAAGATAAATTTCAATTAAAATAAGGGTGAAGTAACAATGAAAATAAGTGTTAGCTAATGCCTCTGGTCTACCAATACTAAATAAAAACACGTTAGTGTAGCACATGCGTGAATTGTTTTGGTCAACCTCCATTCCAACCCCTCATGCAGTCTGGAAAGATTAAAAATGACATTTGGCAGACTCCATTGCAACTAGGATTCTGGATGTGATGTAGGTTTTCCTCATCAGCGTATTTAAGGAGGCCTCTTGAGTAAGGTGGAGAGAGGTATTCCTACAAGTTTTTGCTTTGGGGTAGAGGCCACTGAAGAGAGAGACAGGGGCAGGGCTACAATTTGTGCAGGGGCAGAGTCTGGCCGAAGCGGCGTGGGCCTGGAGCCACCATCTGGGGATGCGGCTCCTTCTGTCAGCTATGTTCTGACAAGGCTGGGGATGTGTGGCTTTGGAGCCGGCAGCCGAAGCAGCAGCATGCTGATTGCTGATGGGTTCAGTGGCTTCCAGGCTCGGCAGCTTCCCTGACCACTGACTTCTACCACGTGCATCTCATGATCATGCTGAGGAACTCAGCCTGGAGTCCCTTTCTTGGGCTCTCCCAGTGATTCTGTGTTCCTCGAATAAACCCCTTTCTGCTCTCGTCAGCTGAAGTAGACCCTGCTGTTTGTATGTACAAGCCCTGACCTAGTAGAGTAGAGGAGATCTCATAAAAGGACACAGAGGAGAAGGCCTAAGAAAGAATGTTCAAAAAATTGAAGAATGTCCAGAAGCAAGGGAAAGCACAGGGGCGGGCCAATAGCAGCATATGGAATCCAGCACTGTGTTGGAGAAATGGAGGAGGACAGGAGCTGGGTTTTTTCTCGGATGGGGCTGGGCCCGGAGACGTGGGGGAATCCATTTCTGTTTCAGGTGCTCTGATCTTGCTGATAGGCAAGGGAATCAAACGTACTGCACTCCTCAGGCAGGGCACGGAGGATATGGGAAATCCCTTTGTGTTGAAAGAAGGATATGGCAAACTGTCCAGTTTGGACAAGACTATGACCTCCATGGGACAGTAGGGTTTCTGTTTTCTGCTTGCCACTGACCTCTTTGGAAGTCTGGTGAACCAATGCTTTGAATGCAGGGAGTAAAATACATAGAATTACAAAGGAAACCAATTATATTGGAAAAAACATCCATCCATGGACTCCTCAAAAGGATTTGTAGATTGTTAAAAAAAGGAAAAAAAGAAAAAAAAGAAAGGAAGGCTAACACAACTTTTTGTTTTACTAAAGCCGTATCACCACTGTGACATGTCCTACCTCATCTCTGTTTCCCTCAGAAATGCCTACTTCTTTCGCCCTTGGTCTGGTGGCTGCTAAAACCTGTTCCAGTTCATCCTTTTCAAATAAATTGGGCACTTCACCTGAGTTCAGGATGTTATTTATATCTTCCAGGAACTCCTCCACTACAATCTGTAGAAGAAAGCAGAGTGATCATTGTAACTCACCCAACCGGTTCACATTTATTACGTGTAAATTGTAAACCAAATATTTAATCAAAATTCACATTGAGTTAATTTTATCTTTAAGAGAAAATAATCTTAAAAATTAGAATCTTAATATTCTAACACAGAAGTGCATTGATTTTTCATTTTTCCTTCCTGTATTGCTTCTTTTTCTTTTTTTTTTAAAAGATTTTATTTATTTATTTGACAGAGAGAGACACCACGAGAGAGGGAACACAAGCAGGGGGAGTGGGAGAGGGAGAAGCTGGCTTCCTGTGGAGCAGGGAGCCCGACGCAGGGCTCGATGACCTGAGCCGGAGGCAGATTCATAATGACTGAGCCCCCCAAATGCCCCTTTCCTGTATTGTTTCTTAAAAGGAATTCATCTTTTTCATGGTTCACGTAACATGTACAAACATTTTATTTTACAGTTATTTTTTAATTTATTTTAAAAATTTGTTTAGGAGCGCCTGGGCGGCTCAGTCATTAAGCATCTGCCTTCGGCTCAGGTCATGATCCCAGGGTCCTGGGATCGAGCCCCACATCGGGCTCCCTGCTCCGTGGGAAGCCTGCTTCTCCCTCTTCCACTCCCCTTGCTTGTGTTCCCTCTCTCGCTGTGTCTCTCTCTGTCAAATAAATAAATACAATCTTTAAAAAAAAATGAAATAAAAAAATAAAATTTTGTTTATTTGAGAGAGAGAGAGAGAGCACGCATGCACATGTAGGCATGCAAGTGAGGGGAGGGGCAGAGAGAAAATTTTCAAGCAGACTCCCTGATGAGCATGGAGCCCAAAGTGGGGCTGGATCCAATGACCCATGAGATCATGACCTGAGCCGAAACCAAGAGTTGGATGCTTAACCGACTGAGCTACCCAGGCACCCCTGTGCAACCATTTTATATTCTGCCCTTTTTCAGCTAACATTTTCTCATAAATATTTATCCATAATTCTGTAGAGTACTCATTGTATTTATAACCATTAATGGGAGCATAACACACTATTGAGCTAATGTGCCCTATTTTTACATAGACTTAAATGGTCCACAGTCTTGTTTACATTTTAAGAACATATGTAGTTCTATAGATTTTTTCCCCATTTGGATTATTTCCTGGGGATAAATTCCCAGGAGTGGAGGGTGCCTGGGTGGCTCAGTCAGTTAAGCATCTGCCTTCTGCTCAGGTCATGATCTCAGGGTCCTGGGATTGCGCCCGGTGTTGGGCTCCCTGCTCAGTAGGGAGTCTGCTTCTCCCTCTCCCTCTGTTCCTCCCCCATGCCCCCCTGCTCGTGCTCTCTCTCTCTCTCTCAAATTAATAAATAAATAAATCTTAAATAAAAAAATTCCCAGGAGTGGGATCAGCAATTAAAATGCATGAATAGTTTCTGGATTTTGAAGATTTTTAAATTTCCCGTTCAATTCAAGTAAGATTTCATTAATCTTTAACATTTATTTTTGCTAGTTTAGGGAGAATTTTGCTTTGGGAGAATTTAATTTGCATTTCTTTGATTATTAGCAAGGGCAAATATGATTCCACATTTATTATTTTCCATTAAAAAATCTGTTCAAACTGTAACCATTTAAATATTGGAATTTAACTTTAAATTTGAATGAGTAGTTTTCATATTATAAAATAAACCTTTTGCCTCTAATAATTGATGCAAATATTTAAGAAATCTACAATTTATCCTTTTGTTCCAGTTAACTTTTTAGTGTTAAAAAGTTTGAGTTCTATATATTTAACTATGACAAAATATCTGTTGTTTTATTTTCTTCACTTGTAACTTTTTGTTTTTTTCTTGAAGTTGGCATAATTGTGTCTTGTTAATTTTCCCCAAGAACAGACACTAGTTAGTTCTTTGTCCTGATTTACTTATTTCTGCTTTTATCTTATTATTCACTTTTTGTTGTTGTTGTTGTTACCTTGTGATCTTTATTTTCCTGAACTTTTAAGTCAACTAATATATGTAGTTTCTAATTTTTTATTCAAATCTATAAATTTAATCCTAAGAACTGTTTGACTGCATTCACAGATTTTTATTTATATTAAGTTCATTTTCCCTGTTCTCTAAATAGAGATTTAAATTTTGATGTTCTTGACTCAGGAATTTTTTATATGAAAATTTTTTTTAAAGATTTTATTTATTTAAGAGAGAGAGATAGAGAGAGAGAGAGCTAGCAAGAGACAGCATGAGCAGGGAGGAGAGGGAGAAGCAGGCTCCCCAGTATATACACGTAGGCATGCAAGTGAGGGGAGGGGCAGAGAGAGAAAGGACAGGCTCCCTGTCCTTTGAGCAGGGACCCCAATGCCGGGCTTGATCCCAGGGCCCCGGGATCATGACCTGAGCCCAAGGCAGATGCTTAAAAGATTGAGTCACCCAGGCACCCCTATATGAATGTTTTAAAGTCCTGAGCCACATCATTAATTTCTCCTTTGATCAGAGCGTGGACAAAGAATGTTATCACCGTAGTTTATGCTTTTTTGAATTTCTTGAAAATTTGTTTAAGTCTAACATATGATCAATTTTTGTAAACCTTCAGTAGTATTAGAAAATATTTACTTTCTTTGTAAAATATAAATGTAGTATATAGCCATTAATTCCAGCTTAGAAATTATATTCTTCATATTATCTAAACATACTTATAACTACTTTGTATTTGCTAGAAATAGCAAATTAAAATTTTTAATGTCTTGTTTCTCTCAACTTCTCATATTTATAATAGTTTTATATATATATATATACATACATACACACATTAATTTCAGTTATTATGGTTATGTTTACTCTCCATTAACATAGAACATTTGAGATTGATTGGGGCTTTCAAAAGGGTATAATAGCCTTTTGTTTGCTTAAAGTGGAACAAGACAGTCTGACTTGATCTTTGGAGCTTTAATACTTAGAGCCTTTTTATATAACTTGCTTAATTTTTAAAAGCAACATTAAACTTCTATAAGAAATATTTTGATTTCAGAATAATAAGAAACTACAGATAAACAAAATTAAGAAAATAAAAAAATCACTCACAATCCCATGACCCAGACATTTTCTAATTGTATATACAGCATATCTGTTTAGTTATACATTAAACCAAAGAACCTATATGGTAGATGAATTGTATATGTGTTATGATGTAACACATCATAAATACTTTTCACATTAATTAATGTGTATTTCCACAAAGTAATTTCAAATTTTTTACAAACTGTCCTATTGTATAATTACAGCACAATTTACTTGTGTGACTCTCTCATTGAAAAATGAGGCTACTTAAAATTAACTGTTATTTTAAAATACTGTATTAGATTTTCTTGTACATACAACTTTGTATGCAGTTGTGATTATAGGTAAGAGAAATTTAAGGGCTTTAACTGCATATTGCCAATCACCTTCCAGATGATTTTGCTAATTCACAAGTGAGGTCTATGCAAGGCCTGTTTCCTGACACCTTTGTCAATACCGCATATTATGATTTTTTAACCTCTGTCTGTGTGCAAGGCCAACCCCTGACATTTATCTTTACTGAAATTTCTCTGGTTACTGGTGAGGCTGAACATTTCTTCAGGTGTTTAAAGCCCTTGATATATATATATTTTTTGGGGGGTGGGGACTTTCTATTCACATTTTATTACATTTTAAAATATCTTCTATTGATGTGCTTGTCTTTTCCTTTTCATTTCAAAAAGACTGTATTTGTATTTATTTTCCAGCTTTATTGAGATATAATTGACATATAACATTTTGTAAATTTAAGGTGTACAATGTATTGATTTGCTACACTTACATATTGCAACATGATTACCACTATGGTATTAGTTAACACTTCCATCACATCACATAATTGCCATTTCTTTTCTTTTCTTTTTTGTGGTGAGAACATTTCAGGTTTACTCTCTTCGCAACATTAAAGTATATAAGTTTTGTTAACTATAGTCATCATGCTGTACATTAGATTCTTAGAACTTAATTCATCTTATAACTGGACGTTTGTATCCTTTGACCAACATCTCACCATTTTCCCCATCCTCCAGCCCCTGGTAACCACTATGCTTTCTGTTTCCATGAGTTTGGCTTCTTTTAGACCCACATATAAGTGATATCATACAGTATTTATCTTTCTCTGTTGACTATTTCATTTAGCATAATGTCCTCAAGGTTCATCCATGTTGTAAACAGCAGGATTTCTTTCTTCCTCATGGCTGAATGATACTCCATTATGGGTCTCTGTGTGTGTATACTTGTGTGTGTGTGTGTGTGTGTGTACATGCCATATCTTCTTTATCCATTCATCTATTGATGGACACTCAGGTTGTTTCCATATCTTGACTATTGTGAATAATGCTGCAATAAACATGGGAGTTCAAATATCTCTTTGAGATCTTGTTTTCATTTCCTTTGGCTATATACCCAGAAGTGGGATTGCTGGATCATATGGTAGTTCTACTTTTAAGTGTTTGAGGAACCTCCATACTGTTTTCCATAGTGGCTGCACCAATTTATTTTTTATTTATTATTATTATTATTTTTGGGGGGGTTGTCAAATGATCCTTTATTGAAATATTTTCCTTTGTAGTTAACTAGCTGGGCATTCCACTGCACCACTGTTGATGTCATCTACGATGTCATGAGGGTGGCGGCCATCAACATTACAGCCCACAGACTGGGCAGTCCCCAGGATGTCTTTAATGGTTCCAGAGAGTTCTCTGGCTAAAGATCGGTGTTGCATCTGTCGGGCAATATTGACAATCTCATCAAAAGTGATATTTCCACTGTGCTTAATGCTTTTCTGCTTCTTTCTGTCTCTTGGTGGTTCCTTGAGGGCTTTGATAATTAAGGCAGAGGCAGAAGATACCACCTCAATCTGGGCCTGTCTGTTCCGAATGGTCAGTTTTACTGTAATCCTTAGACCCTTCCAATCACCAGTCACCTTGGCAATGTCATCACCAACCTTTTTTGAAGACAGACCCAGTAAGCCGATCTTCGGGGCCAGGGCAGACATGGCACTGAATTCGCCACCGGTGCACCTCAGGTACACGGCTTTGATCTCACTGGGGTCGAACTTAGGTGGCATGGTGGAGGTGGCTGGTGTTGGATGAACCCGGATTCGGGATGACCAAAGACAGTTGCGCCTTTGCCTCCTCTGAGCCGAAAGCCAAAAGAAAGCGGCTGCACCAATTTAATTCCCACCAACAGTGCACACGGTTCCTGTTTTTCCACATCCTTGCCAATGCTTATTGTCCCTTGTCTTTTTTTTTTTTT